AAATAATATGCATATATTTTATTTCACATAGCATCTCTAGAAAAGCCTTTAGTAGCAAAAGGTATATATCTCAGAGAGATTTCCACATTTGCAAGATATTAAATGTATTAGTTTGCTAAAGCTGCCATAGAAAAATACCGCAGAATAAGTGGCTTAAAAGCAGATATTTGTTTTCTCATAGTTTTGGAGGCTTTAAGTCTAATATCAATAGGTCAGCAGTGATGGTTTCTCTTGAAGCCTCTCCTTGGCTTATAGATGTCTACCTTCCTGCTAGGTCTTCACATAGGTTTTCCTCTGTGCATGTGTATTCTTAGTGCCTCTTTGTGTGTCCAAATTTCCTCTCCTTCTAAGAATACTAGCCAGGTTGGTGTATGGCCCATTCTAATGGCCTATTTTCACATAATCACCTCTTTAAAGGCCCTGATTCCAAATATAGTCACTTCTGAGATTTGAGCTTTAAAGTATGACTTTTGGGGAACACAATTCAGCCCACAACAGTATGTGACAGAACAAGAACAAAAATTAGGTATTGATTTGAAGGCCTCTTGTGTGTGTGTGTGGGGGGTAGGTGTGGGTATGTGGGTGTGTGTTAAAGTAAGTCCATCACAGTCTCTACGAAAGCAAACATTTTATATTCTTCATGGGGAACAGCTGAATGTGAATGGAAACGAGGTAATATGAGCCAGAGTATCCCAGCTTTGAGAATGTTTAGCAGGAGAATGTAATGTAAAATAGCAAGGGATTCTGGGAAGACAGCAGCAAATGGTGTTATGGTCTTAGAATCTCCTGAAAGTTTCCTTCAAGTACAGGTAGAATAACTATAATAGCAAAGCCAAAACCTGATGCACAGCATCTATAACAAAACTAAGTGTGGAACGCCTGGGTGGCTCAGTGGTTGAGCATCTGCCTTTGGTTCGGGACGTGATTCTGGGGTCCTGGGATCGAGTACCACTTTGGGCTCCCTGCAGGGAGCCTACTTCTCCCTCTGCCTATGTCTCGCCTCTCTCTGTGTGTCTCTCATGAATAAGTAGATAAAATCTTAACAAAAAAACTAAGTGTTAAGTTAACCCAGAAACCACCAAAATAGAAGCAGGCAGGTACAAACTACTGACAGTAACAAGACCCACATATTACTAGCATCTGTATGAGGGGAAGCAGGGTGGGAGGGAGAAGGTATTCAGCAGTCTGATGGGTTTGCAAAATAAGAATGTCAAAACTGCAAGGAGTATTATTGAAAAATGCAGCAGGTCAACGTGAGCACAGCAGCCAAAACTGTGAGAGAACTGCAACAAAACCTGAAGTTATTGGAGCAATCTGGGCCCTTAAACTAACCAACAAAACTCCTTTCCAGACAGAAGCTTACATTGATGAGAAACTGCTGGGAGTATAAGCCAAATCAAAGAAGAAAGAATTGGGGATCCCTGGGTGGCTAAGGGGTTTAGCACCTGCCTTCGGCCCAGGGCGTGATCCTGGAGTCCCGGGATCAAGTCCCACATCAGGCTCCATGCATGAAGCCTGCTTCTCCTTCTGCCTGGGTCTCTGCCTCTCTCTCCCTCTCTCTGTGTCTCTCATGAATGAATGAATAAATAAAATCTTAAAAAAAAAGAAGAAAGAATCACTATGAATAAAGGAAAGAAAAGGTACAAATAAAAGTGGAGATACAACACCAAAAGAACCATCCATGGAAAAAATATCGGTAAGCTGGATTTCATTAAAATTAAATATGTTGTCTGCTCTGTGAAAGATACTAGTAAGAGAATGAGAAGATAACCACAGACTTGGGGAAAATATTTGCAAACTACATATCTGATAAAGGACTGGTATCCAAAATATATAGAGAACTCTTAAACTCTACAATAAGAAAATGAACCACTCAACTAAAAAATAGGCAAAAGATCTGAGCAGACACCTCATCAAGGAAGATATGCAGATGACAAGCATATTAAAAGATGTTCCACCACATATGTTATCAGGGAAATGCAAATTAAAACAACAGTGTATCTCCATGAAAATACAGGGAGGAAACTTAATGCATATTACTAAGAAGCCAATCTGAAAAAGTCTACATATTTTGATTACAATACTATGTACATAGTTTTGTACCCCAGTTGCCAGAGGATGGTGGGAGGGATGAATAGGCAAAACACAGGAGATTTTTTAGCCCAGTGAAATTATTCTGTATGATATTATAATGCTAAATACATATCATTATTCATTTGTCAAAATCTATAGAATGTACAGCACAATGAGTGAATGCTAATGATTCACTCTGGATTTTGGTCAACAATGATGGGTAAATGCTGGTTCATAGATTGTAACAAATGTGCCACACTGATTTGAGATGTTGCTGGTATATGAGGTTGTGTAGGGCAGGGGAGGAGATATGTGGAAACTCTGTACTTTCCATTCAATTTTGCTACAAACTTAAAACTGCTCTAAAAAATAAAGTTTATTAATCAAAATATGTAAATAAAATAATTTAATTTTAAAACTTAAAAAACAAAGTAAAGGAAAAAGCTAGGAAATCTCAGACAAGTTTATTTTTTTGATACTCTGAGAAAATAATAGAATAAGGGGGCTCTGGGCATATGATTTAGACAAAAAAGCTAAAGAAAATCTATTATGCAGGTTCTAGGTCTGGAGAAGTTGAGGTAGACTCAGTTCTCTGTATTCTTCCCACTAAGTACAAAAAAACTCCTTAGTATTATATATCAAATAAACATAAGAAGATTCTAAAAGATGCAGATATGCCAGATAAGGGCCTCAAAATCTGAAGAATGACATGGCAGTGAGTTCTCCAAGCTTCTTTTGCCTCATATATCCTAAACTAGGTGCCAAAGAAGCCAGTAACCCAGAGACACCAATGGGTGCATATGAACAAATAGTCCATGTGAAGTCTGCTCTTTCTAATCAAAAGACCCGGATAGAGGCAGCAAAGCAAGACAAAGAACATTTAAGCAATAGCTGCTTTTTCCCAGCCAAATACCTTTGAAAAATCTACAAATCCCCATCTTAATCCTCATCAACAAAGGCTAAGGGTTGAGCCTGGACTTCAAACCACCTAGCAGTGATAAAGCTGCCACTTCCTAACCACTCAGATGGTGGTGGAAGAGGACTACTGGGAAGTTGGAATTTTTATCATCTTTCAGAATTAACATGGTTCTTCCCCTATGGTATTAGTGGATGCAAATAACAAGGTACCCCTACCTCTCCCAGTCAAGCTGGTGAGTGAGGAGCCTGAACCCTGTCCCAGCCCAGCAGCAATGAGGCATCCCTCCATTTCCAGAGAGTAAGTGGAGACTGAGTAGAAAACCTAGACTTCCACTCCCACCTGGCAGTAACAAAGAGGTTCCCTCATATCTCTCTAATGTAGCAGTAGGAACAGCCTGCTAAAACAGATTTAAATAATATCCAAAAAGAAAAAAAAATAGTAAGTCTAACAAATAAATAGAAGATATAGAGAGAACCAAATGGAAATGTTACAATTGAAAATACAATAACCAAAACAAAAAGCTCAATGGATAGTCACAATAGCAGAATGAACACGAAAGAGGAAAGAGTCAGTGAACTTAAAACAGAAATGATCCAATCTGAACAACAGAGAGAAAACAGACTGAAAAAAAATCTCTTATTAAAGAACATAACTCATTTTATATAAAAGTATAAAAGACACTGAGCAAGGTATCCCTCCAAAGCAGCTCCTGCCCTGATAAACTCTGCAAGCAACCCCAGCAGGGACTGATGCCATTCCAAAATGACTTCTTCACTGGAGAGGGTAAGATAATCACACACGCCAGTGCACCCACAGTCCCAGTAGCCAAAACTTACAGCTAGCAGCACAGAGAGAGGGCCTTGTTGATCTTTCAACCCCAGCAGGGCGGACTGGGGACATGCATCTGGTCTGCTTGCTGATGCCACCTGACCTAAGCCCAAGGCAGCCCCAGACTGCCCCTTAGTGGCACAAGGACCAAACTCTGCTCAGTGTACCCACAACAAGCAAAACGGGCCACTGCAGCCAAACGGATTAAAGGTAAACACAGTTCAGCCACAATAGTAGGGTGCAAGCAACCCATACAGGACATTCCCTACCAGGAATGAACAGGAGACATTGAATCATGGGACACTACAGGATCTCTTCTTCATACGGCCGCTATTTTCAAGATCAGGAGACATAGCTGACTTTTCTAATACACAGAAATAAACACAGAGAGTTAGACAAAATGAGGAGGAAGAGGAATACGTCACAAATGAAAGAACAGGACAAAACCACAGCAAATTAGCTAAATTAAACAGAGAAGTAATAAGCATGATAAATAATTCAAAGTAATAGTCATAAAAATACTCATTGGACAATAAATTTAAATTAGAACTCAATAACAACAAAATATTTTAAAATCCTCAAATATCAAGTAAAAATATACTTCTAACAGCCCATTTGAATGAAGGTATCACACAGAAAATTAACAAATATTTGAAACTGAATGGTACTAACACACTACATATCCAGATTTGTGGGATATAGCTAATGTTGAGCTTAAAGAAAAATTTTTAGCTGTAGTTGTCTATATTAAGAAGAAAAATGATTTATTTTATTTTATTTTTTTTAAAGATTTTCTTTATTCATGAGAGAGACAGAGAGAGAGAGAGAGAGGCACAGACACAGGCAGAGGGAGAGGCAGGCTCCATGCAGGGAGCCCGATGTGGGACTCGATCCCCTGGGCCGAAGGCAGGCACCAAACCACTGAGCCACCTGGGCTGCCCAAGAAAAATGATTTAAATAAGCTACCTAAAGTTTCCAATTTAAGAAACTAAAAAAAAAAAAAAAAAAAAAAAAAAAAAAAAAAGAATTAGGTCTGAAAATGTCAGGAAATAATAGTGAGATAGGGAAATAATAAATAAGAAAACGGTAGAAAAAGTTGATCCTTTGAAAAGGTTTAAAAATTCATCAGCTTAGCAAGACTGTAACTCAATAGTTTATTATAAAGTAACAACAACTTTACCTTGGCCAATCGTGTAATTTTACCAAAACCAGGTTTCCAAGAGGGAGCTGTGAATAGACAATCTTAAATCCACTTTCATGAAGCTCAGACTCTTCTGGAAAGTCTTCTTCAGAAATAGAGCACTTATTGAATCTTGAATCAGTGTTCATGAAGCAGTACCATGGTTTATTGTGATCAACTTTGGTAGCATCCTCACTTGACAACAATCTCCATTTCAAACAGCTTTCATTCTCACACTGAACCCACATTTTGTTTACATACATACTGTTTTCTGCTGAGGAATCCATTGCAGTGTTAAAATATTCTACCATTATCTTACCACCCAATTTTTCTTTTCCATAAATGCATTTAATCTGGAAAACAAATAAGAAGAATATAGGTTCAAGAATACAAGGAAAGAAAGTTCAAACCAAAATTGGAGAAACAGCTCTTTGTTACTTTCTTTGCCCACATTCTTTCTATCCCATAAAGACTATACATTTTGAACAATGTGTTTCCACCCACTCAGAAACAAAGGAACAAAATAGAACCACCAATTTCTCTGGGAATAAAATGCTCCAAAATTAAAAATAAATAAATAAAAATAGAAGTATGACCATTTTTACAGAGAAAACTGAAGCTAAGAAAAGTAATTTTTTGAAGTCCCAGAGCTAGTATATGGTAGAGTCAGGATTTAAATACAGGCAGTTTGGTTCCAGATTCTGTGATCTTATCCATTAAACTTTACTGCCTCTTGGGGATGGAGATACATGAAATGAGTCGATGACCCCTTTCTTTTTCTAATTCTGAGGAATATCAAATGTAACGAAATATTTCCCCATATGAACATTTGAGATCTGCTTTTAAAAACTAATGTTTTGCTTATATAGTTTCACTTATATAGCTTTTATCCATTAATTGAAGCAGTTTGGAAAAAACATTTCTCAGAGGTTTTTATTATGAAAATTTTAAACATATAAAAACATTAGGATTATATGATTAAGCCCCTAACTTCTAGCCTCAATCATTGTGTGAATACCAAAAAATAATATAACTAAAATAAAGTAAAATTAACTTACTTTGCAATAAAAAACCTATTTTAAAGAATGACGTCCATATACCATATTCATGAGTTAGTAGAATACTACTATCCAAGTATAAGCACCATATAAAGAAGCTCTTAATTCATGAGTTAATCATATATTTAGAAACTCATTTATCATATTCCAGGGTCACCACAAATTGTTTTAGAAAGAAGTTTACCAATATATGCCATAGCCATAGTTTACAATTTTTTACATAATACCATTGGTGTGAAACTTAAAAGAAACTATTCTACACATACAAAGATACAAACAATATTCACTGTGGCACTATTTATTATAACAAAAGAATGGACAAGTCTAAAAACATGAAGAACCAAATCTACTGGAAGATAAATATAAAATTTTGCTAATAATATTCATGTAAAATTTCTGGTTAATTATTTAACTGGTGAGGAAATTTTGAGAAGATTGCAATCTACATTGCAGTTGAAGTAAACACACTTTTCTTCAATTCTCTGAGACACTGGACAATATAGCAGAAGTTGTAGAGTTCAGACATTGGAGCCAAATTATGTGTGAACTCCTGGCTCTGTTACTCACCAGTTGTCCCTGAGCAAGATATTGTTTTGCATTTCACTTCACATTAGGTATAAATATGCATGTGTGTATGTATAACAATTTTGTTTGTTTATTTTCAATCCTTGTATCTTTTACTATGTTGCCTAAGACAGGCATAATAATGAATAGAAGCCATGTAGTAGACATCTTTTTCTAATTTCAAAGAGAATGCTTCCACTATTGGACTATAAAGTCAGATATGTATATTTTTTGGTAGAGACTATTAAAAAGTTGCCTGAAAATTTTTCCCTTCAATGACCAGTTTACTATGAGATTTTTTTTGTTGTTATTAAACATGAAGTACTGCTGAATTTTATCTATTGCTTTTCTGTATGTTGAGATAAACATAAAGATTTTTTTTAAAGTCTGTTAACTGGCTATGTTGTAATAATGAGTTAATAATAATAAATCATACTTGCAGTCTAGGTAAACCCTATATGATTGTTACAATAATTTTTTCTTTAACATATATTGCTGTATGTAGTTCATTAAATTACTTAAGATTATACACATGTGTTTACAGGTGAGTTCAATTTTCTTTTTTGCTTTTGGTTTTGATATCAAGATTATTAGCCTCATAAAATGAAGTAAAGAATGTCTCTTTTATTTTGGAAAGTTTGCCTAAGGGAGGAATTCTCAATTGTTATACTTTTAAGAATCCTGGTGTATTTATTATGTCTCTCATTATGTGTCTCTCCTTCACTCTGAAATTTGTTTATATCTCCTTTTTCTTCACTTATTTTGTCAGTACTTTTTTTGAGCCTCCCCATTTATTCTTTGGAGTTCTATTTAATTAATAGCGGCACTCTATTCTTTACTTCCTCTACTTTCTTGGTATTCTTTGTTGATCTTACCTTTCTCTTGAGTTGCTGCTTGGTTAATTTATTTTCAGTCTTTTTAAAATCTTGATTATTACTATTATTTCTATTAGTTGTAAGAGTTCCTTACATATCTTGGATATTAACTCCTTATTGAGTATATATTTGCAAATGTTTCATTCCATTCTATAAGTTGTCTTTTAATTTTGTTGATGATTTTCTTTCCTGTGCAGAAACACTTTAGTTTTATATAATCCTATTTGCTTTGGTGTCAAATCCAAAAAAATCATTGAAAATCCTAATCTCAATGACCTTTCCCCCTATGTTTTCTAGAAGAGTTTTATAGTTTCAAGTCTTTAAGTCATTAGTCCCTTTTGAATTGATTTTTGTGTATAGTGTAAAGATCCAATTTTATTCTTTTGCATGTGACTATCTAATTTTCTACTATCATTTATTGAAGAGGCTAACCTTTCCCTATTGTGTATTCTTGGTGCCTTTGTCAAAAATTAGTTGGCTATATATAAGTGAGTTCTCTATTCTGTTCCATTGATCTGTGTGTTTTTATGCCAATACCATACAGTTTTGATTACTAAAGTTTTGTAACATGGTTTGAAATAAGGAGGTATAATGCCTCCAGCTTTGCACTTCTTGCTCAAGCTTGCTTTAGCTATTTGGGGTCTTTTATGATTCCATATGAATTTTATGCCTTTTTTCTATTTCTGTGAAAAATGTCATTTGAATTTTTATAGGGATTGCACTGAATGTGTAGATCACTTGTTGTACTATGAACATTTTAACAATGTTAATTCTTTCAATCCATGAACATGAGCTATCTTTCCACTTATTTGTGTCTTCAATTTCTTTCATAAATGTTTTATAATTTTCATTGTACAGATCTCTTACCTCCTTTGTTAATTCTTTTTTAAATTGAAATTCAATTATCCAACATATAGTACATCATTAATTTCAGATGTAGTGTTCAATAATTAATCAGTTGCATATAACACCCAGTTGCTCATCACATCACGTGCCTATCATTGAATTACCCCATTGACCCACCCACCTCCTCAACAGCAACCCTGTTTGTTTCCTATAGTTAAGTCTCTTATGGTTTTTCTCCCTCTCTGATGATTTCTTGTTCAGTTTTCCCTCCTCTCTCCTATGATCATCTGCACTGTTTCTTATATTCCACATATCAGTGAAACCATGCAATTGTTTTTCTCTGATTGAATTATTTAACTCAGCATAATATCCACCGGTTCCATCTATGTTGATATAAATGGTAAATATTCATCCTTTCTGATGGCTGAGTAGTATTTCATTTCACACACACACACACACACACACACACACACACACACACACACACACACCATCTTCTTTATCCATGCATCTGTTGATAGCTATCTTGGCTTTTCCACAGTTTAGCTATTTGGGACATTGCTTCTATAAACACTGAGGTGCATCTGAAAGATGCTTTTTCAGATCACTGTATTTGTATCTTTGGAGTAAATACCTAGTAGTGCAATTGCTGGGTCACAGGGTAGCTCTCTTTTTAACTTTTTAACTTTCTGAGGAACCTCCATACTGTTTTCCAGAGTGGCTGTACCAACTTGCATTCCCACCAACAGTGCGAGAGGGTTCCCATTTCTCCACATCCTCTCTAACATTTGTTGTTTCCTGTCTTGTTAATTTTAGCCATTCTGACTACTGTGAGCTGGTATCTCAGCATAGTTTTGATTTGTATTTCCCTGATGGCAAGTGACAGGGAATGTTTTTTCATGTGTCTGCTGGCCATTTGTATATCTTCTTTGGAGAAATATCTGTTCATGTCTTCTGCCCATTTCTTGACTGGATTACTTGTTTTTTGGGTGTTGAGTTTGATAAGTTCTTTATAGATCTTGGATACTAGCCATTATCTGATATGTCATTTGCAAATATCTTCTCCCATTCTGTAGGTTGCCTTTTAAATGAATTCATAGGTGTTTAGGATGGTTTGAAAATTATCTAGCTAAATTTGGGGGGGACCAGATGAAATGAGGCACCATTTTGCTTTTTAGTTTTGTTGACTGCTTCCTCGGCTGTGCAGAAGCTTTTTATCTTGACAAGGTCTTGGTAGTTCATTTTTGTTTTTGTTTCTCTTGCCTTTGGAGACATATCTAGCAAGAAGTTGCTGTGGCCAAGGTCAAAGAGGTTGCCGCCTGTGTTCTCCTCTAGGATTTTGATGGATTCCTCACATTTAGGTTTTTGATACATTTTAGGTTTATCTTTGTGTATAGAGTAAGAAAACGCCCCATTTCATTCTTCTACATGTGGCTGTCCAATTTTTCCAGCACCATTGAAAAGACTTTTTCAAAATGTCTTTATTGAAAAGACTATCCTTTTTCCATTGGATATTCTTTCCTGCTTTGTCAAAAATGAGTTGACCATAGAGTTGAGGGTCCATTTCTGGGTTCTCTATTCAATTCCATTGATCTGTCTGTTTTTGTGCCAGTACCCTACTATCTTGATGATTACAGATTTGAAATGTGTCTTATTTTGACAGGGATTGCATTAATGCATAGACTGCTCTGGATAACACAGACAATTCAACAATATTTACTTTACAATCTATGAGCATGGTATGCTTTCCCATTTCTTTGTGTCTTCCTCAATTTCTTTTATACGTGTTCTGTTGTTTTTAGAGTATAGATCCTGTACCTTTTTGGTTAGGTTTATCCCTAGGTATTTTATGCTTTTTGGTGCAATTGTAAATGGGATCAATTCCTTAATTTCTCTTTCTTCTGTCTCATTGTTAGTGTATAGAAATGCAGCTTATCTCTGTGCATTGATTTTATATCCTGCCACATTGCTGAATTCCTTTATCAGTTCTAGTAATTCTGGAGTGGAGTC